CCAGTTTGCTGCTCCCCACTTGCTTAAGCTGCCTAGAAAGTACCAGTGACCCAAAATGCAGTTAAGCACAGAATATTTTTGGCACAACTTGGGAGCACTGGCTGACTGATTTTATTGCTACTTCTGCCAACCTCAGGCTGTGCTTGGAGGAAACACAAGAGGCTGAGCTCAGTCTCATGTGCTCTGAGTGAGCCCCAAAATGCTCCAGCAGTGAGCTATAAAAATTGCATTGCCCCAGCTTCCTGAAGTGAGAGCCTGAGCATCATTGTCTTCCTGACAGCCTAGCCCTGAGCACACAGGGAAACAGAGGGAAACGTCATTTCTGCCCTGCAGATAAGATAAACTCCCAGGACAGCTACAGGAATAGCATAGCAGGAACACCAACGTGTTGCTCTGCATGGGGCGGGAGCTGGAGGCAGTCAGTGGAGCACTGGGAGGAAAAAATTAGGATAAAGGAACCAGTCAGGTGTTCTGAGCTTCCAACAGTGAAGGTGTTTCTACACTCAGAGACACCGGCTGAATTTGTCACATATTTAAGCAACTTTATTACCAGCAGCTGATTTTTTAATCATCTTCAGGCATTAAATAGACTTGCTTCTCCCAGCAGTTTTCAAGAAGGTTCTAATGCAGCCTCTTACTCTAATCAGATATCAGAGTGTAGTTAATCACCCAATTAACATTAGTATAACTAGGTAATTAGAATCACAGGATCAGAGAACAGCCCAGGTTGGAAGGGACCTTGGCAGATCAGCTGGTGCAGGTGTTTGTGGGAAGGGAGCCCAGAGGAGGTTACCTGGCACCCCGTCCAGTCACCTCCTGAAAGCCCCAGGCTGTTCCAGGGACTGATTGTTCTCACTGGGAAAAATTCCTTTGTTACACAGAGATGAAACCTCTCCTGGTGCAGCCTGTACCTGTTCCCCTTCATCTTCTGCCCAGGGCTCCCGTGAAGAGCGAGCCTCTGGCCAGAGGTCAGGGTCCATCCCAAATCCCAAGCCACCAGCCAGCCCATCCAGCTTTAATCAATACCAAACCACGGAGTGTTTGTTTTTCACAGATCTCAAGGCTGGAGGAAAAGCGGCAGCCAGTGATGGGAAAAATAAAGGGACAAGGAACAATGTCAAACCAGCCCTTGCTGCACTTAATATTGAGGAATGTTTCAAAGAAGGAATTATGAAGGCTGGAAGTGCTCTAAGATAAAAACATCCGAGAACATGGAACTTCAGCCTGATTATCTGCCTGTACAGAGAGAACCAGACAAGGGATTTGATGCTCCTCACCTCAAACAGCTCAAGACACAGATTTCACACAGAATCATGGGGCAAAGTTACACTTTATTAGCCAAGGCTTATCTCCCTGTTAATCCCCTCCGACCATGGGAACAAGCACAGCAGGTCCCCAGGGAGCTCGGGAGCCACGAGGTCACTGCTCGTGGTCACTGGTGGTGCTCTGGTCACTGCTCGTGGTTGTAGTCAGCCGGGTTCTTCCTCTTGAGCCGCTCGAACTCCTGCGTCCCCCAGGAATAAATGAGGTAAGCGATGGCCAGGGCTGGCAGGGACAGAGGACAGGCACAGTCAGGGGACACCGCAGTGAGGGGACACTGCTAGAAAGGGACACTCTCCATGCAGGGATAGTGGAAGGAGGGAACAGTTCTAAGGGGATAATGCAGTGAGGGGACACTGCAGTAAAGGGGCATTCACAATAAATACAGTGAGGGGACACCTCTCGAAGGACACTGCAGGGAGGGGACACTGGAATAAGGGGATTTCACAATATGGGAACACCGACACTGCACCGCGCACAGCACCTACCTCCTGCGACAAAACAACATCCCACACCCCCCGCCCCAATGCTCCCTCTCCCCAGATTTACACTACAAATGAGGTACAAAGAAGAGGGAATCCCTCCTATACTCACGGGGCACCACCTTCAACACCTGGGAGGTGAAGCGGCGGCCCACGTTGGGGACGCCGTGGGACACGACATTGGGGAAGGCGCGCTGCTCGAAGGGCGACAGGCTGTAGGTGATGACATGGCGCACCCGCGCCAGGTTCCCGAAGTGCTTCCCCATGGCCGCGGTGTCCCCTCGGTCAGGACGCGATGGTCACCGCGCAATGGCCGCCGCCTGCCCCGGAACTGCCTCGGCGACGCCTTCCCTTCCGGGGCAGCGCGGGCCGCGCTTTCTACTGGCAACAAACGGTGGAGGCGGTGAGATAGGTGTGTGATAAATCACGGTTCTACTAAAGCGCGTTGTGAGCGTACATTTGTGAACACGATTTGTGATAAATGATGTGCGCTATAAACGGGCCTTGCCCTGAGGGGGGGGGCACCTGCGCCATGAGGGGAGGGGGGGCGGCGCCTCAGCGCGGAAAACCCGCCGAAAATAAATAACGGATTAAAAAACCCACTTTAGTGTGGCGATTGTGGCGTTCCGGTGAAAAATAAATAATGCCGTGAGGGAAAAAACCCACTTCAGTGGCGATTGTGGAGTTCCGATGAAAAATAAATAGTGCCGTGAGGGAAAAAACCCACTTTAGTGTGGCGATTGTGGAGCTCCCATGAACAGCGGGAGCGTCTGAAGCAGAAAACCGTGGAATTATGGAATAGTTTGCGCTGGAAAAGGCTTTTAAAGGTTAAATATCCACGCCCACCCCCGCAATGAGCATCGTAAATAGTGGAATTATTATTAGAATGTATGAGACGTCTCCTACCTAGTTGAAATTACTATGAAACTATATTAGAGATCTTTGGTATTACTGGAATGATTGATAGAGTCTATTATAATTATTAGACTATATTAGATATATTCCATGTTATTCGAATTATAGACTATATTTGACATCAAACTTATTTAAAGTATTATAGAATATATTCGAGATTTTCAACATTATTTCAATTATAATTAGAATATATTAGAATTATAATATCAGCTTCCAAATTAATGGATAATTATTAGAATTACTAGAATTATTAGACTTACTATAATATGATTAATCACCTTCCATATAATTGAAATTATTAGAAGCTATTAGAATTATTAGGCATATTTAGCATTACTGGAATTATTAGAATAGATGAGAATGGTTAGAACATTAGACATTTTCAACATTATTTGAATTATAATAGAATTATTAGACTGCATTCAATATTTTCAGCTTTATTTGGATCATTATATATTAGACATATTTCCCATTATTTAAACTACTATTACAATATATTGTTTATGCAATAAGATTTGTTAGAATATGTTAAACCTCTTCAACATTGTTGGAATTATTATTAGAATGTATTAGATAGATTCAACATTATTAGAATTATTACAATATAGTATGCATGTTTAATATATTATTGGAAATATTAGACTACATTAAATATTATCCCATTAATGGAATATTAGAATATATTAGGATTATTGGATTACATTAGATATTTCACCATAATTAGAAGGATTTGTCTCAGGAAACAATTCCATGTATTTTCTTCTCTGGCAGGTGAGCAAAGCCAAATTCTCAGAGTTTGAAGGGACGAGCAGGAGTGACACAATCCAAACTCACCCAGTGCTGGGACCAGGATGGTTTTATGAGACACCAGGATTCTGTTTTGAGCTTTTGGTGTCAACCACTTTGATTTCAGCAGTTAGAGACTGAAACCTGGAGCAGGATCCTCACTTTTAGGGCAGATTTGTGCCTGTTGCATCTCCTGGGGCTCTCCAGACACGCTGACATCCATGGGTTCAGTGACACCACACAGCAAACCCTCAGGAGCAGTCCCTGACCTGCCAGGCTGAATTCCCAGCCTCTGAAATTGCTCAGGACCTAAGGTAGGGGCTGGTTGGGTGGCTGAGTGCAGAAAGTTACAGCATTTATTTATTAATCCATTAGCAAGTCAATGTTAAAGGATGTTTTGAATGAGTTTTACAAGATAGTGCTGCTCCACAGCCTTTAATTAACAAACACACAAACAAACAAGAAAAATCTCCACTAAAGCTGAGAAGTTTCGTATATGAACCCCAAGTCTAGGAGGAGAAGATGAATCATAATAAATCACTTATAGTAAAAGCTTAGTGTGAAAGCATCTAGAGTTGAGGCACTAGTTACCTACAGTTTCATTGTGAGAGGAAACAAAACTGTGGCCCCACATTTCCAAATGTTAAACCCATTGAACAGCATTTACATCCACACATTTAAGGCTTTTAGAAGCTAGTTTTGGGGATTCAGCTTTTTAAATAATTCTTTCTACTTCAGAAACCAGTGGCAGTGTGGCTCCAGTGGAGAATCCTCTGCCCTCATCCCATGGACAGCTGCTCCTCGTTCTTGAATCGAGGGAGCTTCACCTGATGCCAATTGTTACCAAAATAGTGCCTTAAGTGTTCACAAATGACCCACAGCTGTCCTTAAATTCTTACCCTTCTTTTAGCTGAGAAAGCCCAAAGAGTGCAACAGAAGAAAAGCAGAAAACAACCTGGTAACTCTTTCTAGAACTGTGAGGAAGGGTTTTGTCATCCTGCTTGGAAGAGCTGGGATGTGGTAGGGAAAGAATGAAAAACTGAATAAATAATTCTGACATTATGGACTTTCTTCTCTTCCTAGTCATTGTTGGAGATGCCACACACAAGGTTTCTGTAGAGGCAGAGTAGCAGGCACTGTGTGTTAGGGTATGTGTGATAGCCATTTATTTCTCTTTTTTAATCTGTAATAAAGCAGCTTAAAAATAGACATTTAGTAGTTGAAACCTTTTCCCCATTTTAAATGCAAAATTCTCCCAATAAAAAGACACTATTTACATTTAACTGCACATTCCAGAAAAGCTGAGTGAGTACAAAAATCAGTGCTCTGATGTGAACCCCTTCTGCTAACTCCATGCTAAATCCCAGCTCCCGGAGCTACAGCAACGCTGCTCAGTCGATCGTAGCTACGGATCTTGAGAGTGCAAAATTAAAACCCGCATTTGAGAGTGCAAATAAACGCAAATAAACCCCAGGGCGGAGCGAAGCCCAGTCCCCGCTACCGGCAGGTGCACTTGGTGGCGATCATGTCCTCATACTCCTTGTAGGCAATGGAACCATCGGGCTCGATGGTCAGCACGCTGAGCGGGCTGTAGGCGGCCGGCACGCACGAGGGCCGCGGCACCGAGGGGTCCAGCCGCTCGTAGATGAGGGTCTGCACCATGGTGTGCACCGGGGAGCCGTAGCGGTGGCCCAGGGCGCGGGGACAGTCCCCCCGGCAGAACTGCGGGCTGTACCTGTGCGGGGCGATGATCCAGCGGTCCCAGTGCAGCTGGCTGAAGCTCAGGCGAAAGTTGTGCAGCTCGCACTCGTGCTGAGGGGACGCAAACTGCTTCAGGTACTCGCCCAGGTTATGAGGAGAAGCGGCTGAGGCCGGGTTCTTGTTCCTTCGCTGGCGAGAGGCCCTTTTGCCCCGGGGATTGCCTTGTCCTCTGTCACCCTTCGGAGGAGCCACAAGCGGGCTGCTGCTTTTCCTGCCGGGCCCCAGTGAGCTCCCCCGGTGATAAGCCTGCTCACTGGTGTCGTTCAGATACAGCAGAAGGGAAGGGGGAACCAGTGTCACATTAACAGCATTTTCCAGTCCCGTGCTCCGTTGTGGGTCACCCATCAGACAAGTGAAGTTCAGAGCCATATGGACATTCCTCCTGTTCGTAGCAATCAGGGGCTGGAGGAAAGAAGTCACATCCATCTCCACCCATTTGCGTTTCCCAACGTCAAAGTGCAGGCTAAAAGCTAGAGAGTGGGAAATGCCAGGACAAACTTGGCTGGAAAAATCATATTCCTTAAGGGATAAATGGCATATGCAAGTAATGGAAGAGGAAATGGGAACAGATGTGTCAAAGGAATAGAGCAAGACAGACTTGAGTAAGTGCTCCAGAGCAGTAACACGATCCAAGTTGAAGAGTAAATCCACCGAGTGAACATCTCCTGGGAAAGGAAACAGATTCCTGTAGTGTTAACATGTCTTATTTTTCAACCTAGACATAAATACTGTTGTAGTGGGTAAGTAAAAATTATTCAGCAGAAGAAAGCAATTTAGATGCCCTCCCTTACATATACTATGTGAAATTTTTACTTTGGTCAGGGGTCTGAGAATGAAAAATTAAGAAATTAAAACAAACAGAAGAAAATCCCTGATTTTCTCAGTTATTAGGATTCATTTCTTTAAAAGAGCTGGCACAGGAGGAAGCCAGCTGTTGTCTCTTTAGTGCTGGTGTGGGGTAACAGGGACTAAACACTCCAGATGACACAAACCATGAACTCCATCTCAAAGGGCTGTTCCTGTGCAGCAGTGCAATGCTTGTGTTTATCTGTCTTTCTAGTGAAAAACCTGAGTCAGGAGAACTCAGGCCACCTCAGCAGGATTAACAGCCAACGATTTCTAGGTACTGTTGTTATCAGCCCACAATTAAGAAAACCATGGAAGCACCATAAGTTACGGGGTGCCCAGCTGTCCCATTTCTGAGCCTGACTTGTGAGTAATTCTACTCTTCCCTTCAGCTTTTGGTCGTGATTCTTCTCTAGCAAATGTACCAGGCAAGGAGAGGAGTCTCTGGCAGTGGGTTCTGGCACTTTGGTACAAGTCTCATGCCAGTGATGTGGTTTTTTGAAAAAAGCAAAACCAAGGTGGGCTGTAGAAGGAAATGTGCTGCCCGTGGTGCCTCAACATTTTTTCCCCTTTTCTTACTTCACTTAGATCTGCTTGTGGCTTTTTCTGACTCACGAGGAGATGAGTCAGCCCGAAACATCGACGTGTCTTGTACATACCATTTGTGTGGTGTTCCCCAGCCTGTGAAGTCTGTGCCTAATGCCATTCAGTGAGAAGCAGGCTATGAAAAACTCCCACAGTTTAGGGGAACAGCCTCCAGAACTAAAATAGCAACAGCTCTAAAGACAGGAGGTATTTTTATCGCGTGCTGCCGGCACAGAACACACAGAAACCCGGTGTAACCTTGCCGGCCCTGCACACCTACCTTTCCCCGGGCGGTGCTCGCATTCCCAGCACGGCGTGAAGAGCCGCACCGTGTTATAGAGGCGGCCCCGCTGCTCCTTGGGGATGCCATCCCTGGTGGCAGACATCCTGTACAGCCTCTTCATGTACCGCAGCGCCCTAGAGTCCGGCTGCAGCCGCGGCTCCTCGCTCTGCCAGCCCCGGGGGCCGCGGTCGCGCAGCACCCTGAGCAGCGGGGGCAGCAGGGCATGGGCTGCTCCCGCACCCTGCGGCAGCTGCAGCACCGCGCTCAGCTGCCTGGCAGCATCCTCGGGAGCTGCCAAAAACCCAGGGGCATCCTCAGAGTCCCCCCGGCCCCTGGAGCGAGGGGAGCGCTGGGTGCCCGCAGAGAGCCAGGACAAGCAGCAGTACAAACAAACGCAAATCCTCCAAGTGCTCCCCATGCTCCTGAGGGCTGCAAATGAGGAAAATACCTCCCATCAAGAATTCAAGGAAAAACGACAGTGCCTGAGCCCCATCCCTTATATAGGTTGCAGCTGTGGAATGTGAAGGAGGTTTCTTTCTGATTAGGAAGCAAAGAGAAAGGTCTGCAGCTGGCCCCTGAAACCACAGGTTCATTGCAGTTGCGCTAAGCCTTGGCCCTGAAAGCTTATTATAAAGAGATACTAATTCTGAATTAACCTTTTTCACATGGGAAATTACAGGCTGGAGCGAGTGCCAGCCCGCAGAGGGAGCTGGGGAGGCGTTCGTGTTGCCTGGTCTAATTAATCCTGGTTTACTTGCAGGAATATATAAAACTAAATATTACTGCTCTTAGCCTTTGGCCTTTCTCCATGTGCTGGTGTAGTTGTTTTCACCAGCTCTGAGCTGAACAACACAGCCCCTCACTGGGTGTAAACCTGTGGGTTTTGTTAAGGAAGAAGGTTTGAGGCTGCTTTGAGAGTATCTTACAGGTAGCTTAATTTAGGGGTTATGTCAGATGTTCTTCCTCTTGCCTTGGTGTGCTGCTGTGGAAAGCTGAGTTTGCCAAGCTCGTTACTATCTCTTTCAGCTTCCCTGGTGTATTTTCCTGTCTGACAAGCTCTTGTTTAAGAGCTGGAGAGTAAAGAAAGCCCTGAAGAATCAAAAATTGTGAAAAATGGAGAGCCTGCTGGTGTTATCTGCCCTGTTTGCTGCTGAGGTGAGGTTTGAGGTCACCTGCTGTACACCAGCTGTGAGTCATTTTTTTCAGAAATTTTTTCATTGCTCCTAAATAAAATAACACTTCTGGTCCTTCTTGCAGGATCTTCACCATGGGGTTCAGTTGTGGCTTTAAGGTAGGAGTAGAGAAATTGTTTCTCATTTTGCTGGTGTCTTGTTTATTTTACATTATTATTGGATGTGGTGAAGGTACAAGTCTCGTGCTGCAGACTCCAGAACAGGGGGACTGGAGGTTTTTGGTAATTGGGAAATACAAGGCATTTTCAGAAATCCCTTCTTGTCTTGGTAACCAAATGTTACTAAGTATGAAGGCAAGGGCCAATTGTGGCAAGTCAAAAAGGTTGCTGAATTTACTTTGAATTACAGAATTTACCAAATTTATTTTGAATTATTAATAGAAGGTATATGGAACAAAAAGCAGCAACCCCAAGCTTTACACAGCATCTGCTCTGTGCTGGCAGTGGCTCACTGGTGATTGGGCTGGTTCCCACTTCCGTCTTCCCAAAATAAGCTCTATTTATTTTTATCTTAATGGGTCAGGGCTGCATCTCCTAAGCAGAGCTAGTGGTCTCAAGGGCATCCTTTAAGTTTAAACAGGGTTTTGACTCATTTTTATGGGGGCTTTTGGAGAGGGACAATCACTCTCTGTAGGCTGCTTACAGACTTTCAAACTGCTTTTATGCAGGGCAATAAAAATTACTCAAATCACCAAGCCACAGTAAGACTGGAGGCCTGTTGGGTGGAAAAATGCTTCTTCCTTCCCATTAGTATCTTCCCCAAAACCCCAAAGCACTGACACTCATCTTTGGTGAGGCACACTCCCATTGTTATTGCTGGGTTTTAGGCTGTCTCCAGCCTCAGGGTGAATTTCAGCTCTTCTGGCATTTGCTGAATCATTTTATTTGGTTACAAAGTCGTGGCTGCAAGGTCAGTACCTAACAATGAAACCAGTGAGTGTTCAGAAGGTAAAAAAGGGGAAATCCTTCCAGACTGGGACACAGCCCTGTCCTGGGCTGGGAACTGATGGTCACCCACATTTAGGCACTCACTTCTCCCCCACAGCACGTGCACAGCAACAGCAAAGGGTGATTGAACTTTTAGGTGACTTTGTCCTGCAGGGTTTAGAATGGTAAACCAGATATATTTATATAGAAATCAATGATTTATCATGCTAACGATAAGACAAAAAAGGCCTTAAACAGAATTATTTGCTACCTAGTATGGGCAGCCAGAACTGCTAGTATAGTCAGTGCACTATTTTTGAAGCAAAATTGAAACATTTCTATTAAAGCAGTTATATTGAGGCAATTATACTAAAGAGAGAAAAAAAATGTTAACTAGAGATTGGTGTTACTCATCCAGACCAAGGACTGGGCAAATCTCTGGCCTTGAGGGGTGTCCCCACTCCAGGAAGGAATCTCCACATACTCTCCAAGAGGGGTGTGTTGGAAAACCCTCTGTTCAAAAGTGGGCCTGGGCTGTCAGTCAGATGTGTCAGGGCCAGCTGTGCCAGCTCAGGAGCTTTGGGGAAGGTGTCAACAGCATCACTTGTTTGTTCCTTTATCAGGCACTTTATCATCTGCCACGTTTTCATCTCACTCTCAGGATGCTGAACTTTGGGATCCATGTGTCAGGCTGGTTTTAGCATTATTCACCCCAAAAGCAGCAGTGAACTTTTTCTCCACACTGACAGCTTTTCAAGCAGGGCATTGTTTGAGTTGTTGCACCCGCACTGCAGGCACAGCATCGAGCAGGGACTGCACCCCCAGCCCCCACCTGTCCCTGAGCCAGCCCCCCTTCCCTGGGACCCTGGGGACACCACAGGAGTCACAGCACAGAGGGGGCAAGATCTGCTGTAACATCCCTTGCAGTGTCTCACTGACACAAAAAGCACTGAGCACAGAGTCCCAGGCTGCTCTGAGTCTGTGCAGTTTGTTTATTTAAACCGATTGTGCTGCCAAGTGATTTCAGCAGAGCTGTCTGGGACCCTGGTGGAGCCTGGCCTGGCCATGCAGCACAGACAGATTTTCCATCTGCCTGGCAGGAGCTTCCCAGCAGTTTCTCTCCACGCTGCTGAACTAGGTCAGGCTCTCATTGCCTTCTCCATGCTGCAGACCTGGGCACAAAAGCACCCTGAACCATGAATTCCCTGCTCCTACCTGGAGCTGCCTGACAAGATTGCTGTGTGTCCAAGTGTCCTCTCATCCCTGGCCTATGTCACACCCATCCCAAAGCACAGATGCCATGGGGTAGGAGCAGGATCAGCAGAGGAGTGAGCTTTTCCTTTTCCACACCATCAGTGTCTGAGGAAACCTCTGTGGCTTCCCAGGCCCATCTGACTGGCACCGCAGCAAAGCCCACGGGAAGCTTTCACCTGGTTTCTCATTTCACATGCAGTGCCTGGAGCCTTTTGGCTCACACCCAGGCAGAGGGGCCCAGCAGGAGAGCTGGGTTCTCACAAACCTTATGGAAACGGGTGGGAAGTGAGAATTTCTACCTGACCAATATCCAGAGCAGCCCTTGGAGCAGTGTCTGTCCCAGCTGTGCTCACCCCAGTGCCAGAGGTGAGCCAGCTTGTCTAGAACAGCCCTTTTCCCAGGGAAATGCAAAGCTGGGAAGGGGGGTTGTTCTCCTGGAGGTTGTTCAGTGTCAGGGGGCTGGGGTGCTGGCTCTGCAGGAGCTCTGTGGGACTGTCAGCACAGCACGGAAACATCCCTGTGCTTCCTCAGCCAATGTTCCCAGTTCTCCCAGGAGCATCTAAACTGGCCCCAGCTCACAAAGCCAACTGTGTACAGACTTCATTTTTATGTTAGATCTGTTCCCACCAAGTGCCAAAAGCAAGCACAGGGGAAAGCTTAAAAATAAACCACAGCAGCTCTGAGAAGGATGAATTTGGGCAGAGCAAGGAATGACAATTCCAGCATTCTCCCGATCAGCTGATGTTCTGCACTGAGCAGGAAGGATTTACTGGCTGCAGGGCAGGGTTTGGAACCCTGCCACCAGGCACATGCCTGTCCCACATCCCGTGCAGGATCCTGGTGGGACCAGAGCAGGAACCCACAACCAAAGCTGAGCTGGTCAATCCCAACACTGCAGCATCCCAGAGCATCCTGTTCCAGCCTCAGCTGCTGCTCCTGCAGTTCCTGCCTTACCTGGAGCAATTGTTGGGGGGTTGTAACTACTTTCCAAGCTTCAAACAAGACTTTCCAAGCTTTCCCAAGACAGAAGCATTCCTGCCCTGCTATCCCTATGACAAAGTTGTATGTTGTAGTGCACATCAGCCTGAAGAAGTGCTGAGGTACAAATTTGTATTTGCACAGCTGCTGCTTTATGACTTTGTCCTTAAATTCAAGCGTGGAGTGAGTCAAGTGAGTTTCCACCCCTAAGACAATATTTTCTTCCCTTTAATGCTCTGATAAAGTGTCAAAATTGTTCCCCAGCTGGATCAGCGTTACCCATTCCCTGTTTGTGTGGGCAGTGACTACAGCAGAGAGGGGCAGCATCAGTCAGAAATGATCCAGGCAGCCCCTGAGCCTTTCCTCCAGGACTGCAAGGGAGAGGGAGAAAGGGAAAAGCTCCCCAAGCATCAAGAGCTTTCCAGCCACATGTGTGTAAAAATCTGTTCCTGTGCCACGTGACCGAGGAAGAGGCACAGATCCATTACACAATAATAAAAATATGCCTTTGGCAATGTGGAGCCAAAGTGGAGCTGCTGCAGGGAGCTCAAACTACGCACAAGAAGAAGTAAAACAGGAATAAAAAGGACCAAACTCAACCCTGCACAGTCCTACCAGGACCTGCTGTGGCAGGGGTGGGGATCGCTGTGGGATCTGCAGCAAAACATCTGCCTGAAGCCCTGGGGGCTGCCAGCTCCTGTCAGGATCTCACTGAGGAGGAGATCAGGCTGGTGAGTAGACCCACTTTTCCTTTTCTTTCCTCTCCCTCCTCTTAACCTTAACTTCCCAAATAAGGTCTGAGTCGCTGGAGCACTCAGGTTTCCAAAGCCTGCACAGGAATCCGTAAAGGCAACAGTTGCCAGTTAAAGAAATAACACCATGAGCGAAACATTCCTCAGCTTTGCTCCCACCTCCTTCAGCCCGTCCCTGCACTGGGCAGCTGCGAGAGGGTTTGAGCTCGGGGCTAGGGAAGGTTTGGCACAGCAATTCCTGGTGTTTCTGCTCCAGACTAGGGAAAGTTTGGCACAGGAATTCCCGGTGCCTGAAGCCAAGAGAGCACTGCAGGT